CCCCCCCCGCCCCGGGCAGGCATGTCATGAATGGGGCATCGATCCTTTCCTATGGGAATTGGCTTCTATATGGTGGCCACGGTCCTGTCCCAAGCTGCCCTGGGCACAGCTGATGTGTGCAAGAGGGTGATACAGAGCCAGCATTTTCTGTTAATGCTGAATGCTCCTTCTCTCAGGCTTTGTGTCTCTGGACCTCAGTGCTCCCATGCTTGGTGCTCGGCACGCTCCTCTTCAGAGTCCTGTCCCACTGCAGCAAAGCAGATTCCTGAGGTCCATCGGGTGTTATGTGTACAAGTAGTGCTTTCTTTTACTGGTTTTGTGTGAATTGCCTTGCCTCTTTGGTGCCTGGTGGGGAGACAGAAGCAGCTGTCTTCCCTTGCATCCCTTCTTGGCCCTGCACTCTCCGTCCTACCTGGTCCTCACCCATGGAAGTGCCTCCAGCCCTTTAACAGCTGCAGTCCTCCCATGGCCTTTTGATTTCCAAAGCAGTGATGACTCTGACTCCCCGTCTCTGCTCCTGACGCCCCCTGAGACCGGATGCAGTTTTCCGGTATTCCCGCTACTGTTTCCTGGTCTTTTCTCCGTGCCTTCTAACGGGAAAGAGCACTGTTACTAAGGGTGATGGTTCAAAGTGCTGCCAGTTGCACTTTCCTCTGAGTGACCCTGGGGAGCTGCTCTGAGCTGAGCTTTTCTGAGCTCTGGTCCTTCTTATTTGGAGGGTTATGAGTTTGTGGACTGATTCGTGTTGGTCCTTTTCTGTTAATGTGGCCTGGGCAGATGACTGGGAAGACTCTGCAGAGGGGAAGGGAGGCACGAAACCAGCTTGGTTCGTGCTTGGGGTGAAACCGGCTGCCAGGCTTTTGGTGCACATGTAAATTTGGTGTCTGCCTGTCTTGTGTGGTATTAGTTGATCCAGATCATCTGCCAACAGCAGATGTTTATATATCTGACTATGGAAAAAGGGGTTGGAAGGGGCCCCACATGATCCTCGGTGCATGATTTCCGTGCAAGTGAGCAGGCTAAGAAGTAGAGAAAGTAAAAGCAATGACTGATCATTTGGTGATCAGGCAACTCTTATCTGATTGTGAGCAGAAACCACAGCAGAGATGCTGTGTAGGATGGGAAGGAGATCTTTGGATTTAGAAAGGTCAAGAAACATCTCTGTACTTGAGTCTTCTTCTCTCTCTTCCTCATGGTTCCTGTGTCTCGTGTATCTGCACTGTTGTGGCACCGGCTGCCACTTACCCTCTTCCCTCCAACCTCTTGCCCCCTTGGGACCAAATCCAGCTGGGATATTCATTGGGATTGATTTTAGTGGTGGGGGAACTTCACCCCCCAGAGGTGAGGACAGTCTACAGCTACATGCCATGTCCCTGTGCTGGGGCTTTTGCCAACTCCTGCTGGCACTGGGCACCTGTGCACTGAAAGTTTGGGGATGGAAGTCCCCTGGCTGCCACTGACCCCAGCGTGGGCTTTGGATGCAACTCCTGTAGTAGGATCAGGCCCTTTGGGGAGCCAGGGGAAGGACCTGGTCTACCAGGGAAAGTCAGGCTCTGGTGACTCTGACCTCTGCCCAGGGAACAGAAACCCATTTTTCTTCCCCTTTTCTTTCCCTCCATCTCATTATTCTCCCTTTGTGGTAGGGCAGCACTTTGAGAAGTCATTGACGTTTTTCTTCTCTTCCTCCTCTCGTCTGCATAGGGAAGTCCTGCTGGCTCTTCCCCTTGGCCAGCTCTCCCTGGCTGGCTGCAGAGCCCCAGGGCACGAGCTCCCAGTTAGCCCAGGAGCTGCGCTTTTTGTGTGAGTAAACAGCACAGCTCTTCCTTTGTACAGTTTGCAGAAGCTTGTCTACCTCACCGGGTCCATGCTCTCCATATGTTTCTATATACACCTGCAACTATGTTACCAAATGCTATACCTTTGCACTCTTTATTAGTTTGTGGAAGCTGAAAAGGCAGCCCCAGGAGCTGTGGTCTTGTATTTGCACTCATCCATTCCTCTGTGTCTTCTGGGACAGACTCCCCTGCCCCAAGCTGCCCCTCTGCCTTAGGTAAAGTCACATCTGAGCCCCGGGGGAGGCATGATGCTGGCTGAGCTTTCTGGATGGCCCTGCCTTTTGGTTCACCTCCCTAGGTTCTCCTTTCGGTGTCTTGACACTGTGTTCCTGGGACATGATCAAGGGCATATGCTGCAGGAGAGCACAAGCGTGGCTTCTTTGCTGGCACGCTGGGAACAGGGAGTCAAAGGACTCCTTATCTATGGATGGAAAGTTTCTGGGCTGCTTATCAGGCGCTGCCTAGAAGTTAGATTTAAGTTTTGGGAGCAGCAGTTTGCACCATGGCAGACAGCACGCTTCTCTGTTCTCCTTAGGTGGGTGAATGCCTCTGGGCGAGGCCGTGTGCAGGTGGCCCAGCCCTGTGGGGATGTGGGTGCCCAGGGAGGGGACTGGTGCCATGGCTGGGCACAAGGCTCATCCTCCTTGCATCCATCCTGCCCCCTCGCTGCACCCACAGCCCTCCGAGGGTCCTGACTCCCATGACATCCTTGGGGTGACACTGAGGGAATTTTTGGCTCTAACTTTACATGGGTATTTCTATTTCTAAAAACATTTGCCAACCTAATTTTGGCTATTCTTGCTCCTTTCCATAGATGGGAATGGAACTTGCCGTTGGTTGAATTAGCTGCTGATGCAAACTGACAGCCGAAATGCTGAGGGTGCATGGCTCAGCCGGGAAGGGAAATTGCTGAGCCGCTCTGCAGGAAGCTGGGGACCCAGATCTTGGCTCCTGCAGGGTCTCACAGCCTGACTGCGGGTGCATTGACCCTGTGCCCTGGGGCTAACACCCTCTTGCCCGCTCTGTGGTGGATGGTCACCTTTCCCGAGCCCCCCTGCAGCTCTGCTGTGTGCCCAAGCTTTGCCTGCCACTGGAGAGCGGGACATGGCCAGGTTTTGGGAGAAGCTGCAGCTATTAGCTGCACCCAGTTCTGTACAAAAAATTCTGACAGCAAAACTGTCCCCATTACCCAGCAAAACCAGGGACACTTTGTGCTCCCTGTGAAAGGGTGGCGATTGCAGGGGTGGCCAGCCACAGGCTGAAGCTGAAGTAGCTGGACCTGTGCTGCCAGTGTGGAGGGACGCAAGTTGCGTCCCTGCTGGTGGTGATGAATTTCTGAGTGGCTGCAAAGAGCAGGAGTTGTCTGGGCAAGGATCTCCTGCTGGGGCATCGGCTCGTTGCTTAAAAGTTCACAGACAACATGGGGTCCCCACCTTTGCCTTCCTCTCTCAGGACAGACTTACAATTAAATCCCCACAAGAAAGAAGGCTCTTACCTCTTGAGGGCTCCATCGGTCAGCAAGATCCCCTTCCCTTTCCTCATCTCTAGTTTCAGGGGTTTACCCTCCTGCCTGCCCTGGCCTTGCCTGCAGTTCCTGCCCCTGGACTGGGCTTTCTGGACAGGAGGCAGGTGGGAGTTCCTGGGTGCCCCGGTCCTCCAGCAGTGCAGCAAGTGCTGGTATGCCACCCGGAAATCCCTGTTGAATGTCCCATAGAGGATGGGGTTCAGGGCTGAGTTGGCATAGCCCAGCCAAAGGACGATGGACATGGGTGTGCCTTTCACCCTGCTGTCTCCCCACATCCCCCGGTACGTGAACACTGTGAAATAGGGGAACCAGCACACAATGAATGCTCCCAACACCACCGCCAGCGTCACAGTGGCTTTGTGCTCTTTCACCATGGGTGGCATGGGGGCGTTGCTGCTGCAGCACCACGTGTGGTTTATCCTCTTGGCTTGCTCCCTTGCTATCTTGAATATCCGGTAGTAGGTGATGCACATGATGACCAAAGGGATGTAGAAGGTGAGCAAGGCGTCCACTAGCCCATACACAGGGTTCACCTCCAGCGTGCACTCCTTATTGCAGTTGGAGACTGTGTTTTGGACTGCTGTCCCATTGGTGTTCCAGCCCAGGTGAATGGGTAGGAAGGAGACCATCAGTGAAACAGTCCAAATAACAACCAAACCCACAGCCACACGGGAGGGAGTGACCACCTGGTTGTAGCGGAGTGGGGTGGTGACGGCAAAGTAGCGGTCCAGGCTGATCATGAAGAGGTTGAGGATGGAAGCCGTGCACAGCATGACGTCCAGGCTGGTGTAGATGTTGCACAAAGTGCTACCGAAGGGCCACTCCTTGGTGAGTTCATAGAAGGCAGAGAACGGCAGCACCAGGAGGCCTAGCAGCAGGTCAGTGATGGCCAAGGAGACGATGACACAATTTGTCAAGCTGCGGAGCCTGCGGTCAAGGGTGACGGCCAGGCAGACGATGATATTGCCACAGAGAGTGATCACGATGAGGATGGCGAGGCAGGACCCGATCAGGAGCTGCAGGGAGAAGTCCATCCTTTTTTGAGAACTTGTATGGTTGTAACAGGGATCCATAGTGCAGTCTCATGGGTGGAGCAGTCCTGCTCTCACTGGCTCCAGAGCTACTTGGAGTGAGCCTCTGCCAGGTAGCTCTAGAGCCCTTTCTGAAGCAACCTTGGGCCTACAGTGACCTTGGAGAACATTGCAAAGTCATTTCAAGTGTTCAGCCTTGTTTGCTAGGAATGACACAGTCTAGGGAAA